TTTTTTGTGAAAGGGGCTTTTTTGGTTGAACTTTGAAAGCGGTTGTAGGTCGAACCCGTGCCGGGGAATGACGTAACTCATTGATCAGTTCATGGCGTTGTAGGTTGAGCACGTGCCGGCGGGGAATGTTTTTGCGCAGCATGCCGCTCCCAGTTTCTAGCCGCCTATAGTTTGCCCCCCCCCCCCCCCCCTCTCCTCGCCTCTCCTCTCCTCTCTCTCCTCCCCTCTCTCTCCTCTCCTCGCCTCTGCTCTCCTCCTCTGCCGCTCCGCGCCTCTGCGCCTCTGCTTTGCTTCTCCCCTGCAGGGCGCCTCTAGCCGCTCTGTCAATTACCCAACACCGGCCCCCGCCGCAAGCCTCTCTTCTCGCATGTGCGCATGGCTTTTACGGGGGCGTGGTCCGTGTCCATGTACGTCGCGCCGGCACCGACTGTGACCACTCTCCGACACTCTCGAGCTCTCAGTATACTGTGCGGCACACACAGACTCTCTCTCTACACACCACCACACACAAAGAAAGAAAGAAAACAGGCCATGCAAGGGAAGGGAGGGACGGGAGGTACTAATACTGTAGCAGGGTGAGAAACGTGAAAAAAAGCCTCGGCAAAATCAGAAAAGATTTTTTCTTACTAACCAGCTGAAGTACAAAGAACCCTGCACAAAGATCGCAAGGGCGGGGACCTGTTCCTTTTTACCCATCTATCAGTAGAGAGGTCTCCGTTTTATTTATTTACCAGCTGAAGTCCGACTTGAGCGCAGCTTTCGTTCCCTTGCCCTCGGCGTTCCTCAAGCGACATCGGCTAGACCATCAGATCCGCTTGGCGACCAGCGCACCGACGACCCAGCATCACGGCACCGACCGCCGCCATGCATTCAACCGGCGCGCCGCAGGCTGAGAGCATGAACCGCTCCGAGCCGCCGCGACTGACAGCGGGGCAGGCCACGGTCCCGAGCCCCGCCGAGCCAGTCATGCCGATGACGTACCAGAAGCTCCTCGCCGGTGAGAATGGCCATGGCACCTCTCGTGTCCCCTCGACCGCGCAGTTCTTCGCTCCCGGAAAGGACGACTGCGGCGGCTCCGGCTCTTGCGGACCGGGAGGACCGTGCCCAGCCCGGTTCTTGTGCAACGACTTATGCGTGCTGGCGTGCTCTCCCTCGCCGCTCTGGTGCTGCACCCACAACGTCGTCTGCTGCGCCACATACCACTGGTTCTCCGGCGCCTCTCGAGGCGTGTTTACCGGCTGCGGCCCCTCGGTGCCCTGCAACCCCTGCTTCGCCCTTCCCTTCCAGTGCTGCTCCTCGACGCCAGCGGTGCAGTGCGGGTTCCCGCTCGAGTTCGCCTGCTGCTGCGCCCCCGCCGACGACCGCTGCTCCGCCCTCCTCTTCCAAACGCAGCACCTCCTCGTCGCCGCCGCCGAGCCGGCGCAGGTCCTCATCACACCGCCCACCCACCCACGCTCTCCCTCACACACCCACCCACACACACACACACACACACACACACACACACACACACACACACACACACACACACACGCACACGCACACGCACACACACGCACGCACACACGCACACACCCCGTGCACCTGCCTAGCCAATGCTCCACCACCTTGCGCGTGTGGAGAGGGTTGCCTTACCTTACCTAGGTCCTCTTCCCGCGCGGCATGAAGTACCCGCGCTCCTCGACCTCGCGGCCCTCGTCGCGGGGCGTGGTCCTCGAGCTGTGAATGAAGAGCTGTGAATGAAGAGCTGTGAACAGGCCCTCGTCGCGGGGCGTATCTCTCGCGGACGAGGCGCTCCCTACCACACCCCCACGGGACTGAACCCACACCGGATTCGGTGCTCTGGAGGTATGGTAGGCCATCTACGGCCAGCGACGCAAGAGCGAGGCGCCGCGCGTGCCGAGGCAGCTGTTGCTCTGCGGCCGCTGGACATGCACCTCGCATTCGAGGCTCCTTCCCTGTTCCGACTCTCCTCCCCCCTCCTCCGACTCTCCTCCCGCACCCTCCTCGCCCGCCCACCATTCTTCGCCCTCGCCCTTGCCCTCGCCCCGGCCCCCGCCCTCGCCCCCGCCCCCGCCCTCGCCCCCGCCCCCGCCCTCGCCCTTGCTGTCACCCTAGCCCTAGCCCTCACCCTCACCCGTGCCCAGGTACGAGAGCGGTGCCGGGGCGGTGCACCCGCTCCACTGCTGCGTCCGCCTCTGCGGCGCGGGCTCGGAGGAGACGATGCCGCTGGCACCGTGGGACGGCGCGCGCCGTAGACGCGGCACGTGCACTCCAGCTGGCACTCGAGAGACCACACATTCAGCCGCATTCGGAAAGCATTCGTCCATGCGGTGCTCTGAAAACACTGCCCAACACGTGTACTTGTGCTCCCGCGCCTGATGTCGGGGTGTCTCCCCACTCGAGCTAGGCGCGCAGCCAGTCCGCTTCGCCTCGGTCTTCGAGGCCTGCTTAGCCTTAGCTAGTTGGAGAGGTGAAGGACACTACCACGGGTGGGACGCGAGCGAGAAGGACAGGCAGTCATACGGGAGCGACACACTGACACACAGATGGGTCACTCAGCCAGCGGGGTGTCGCACAGGCCTTCGCCAACCTCACCAACTCGGTGCCGTGCGCCTTTGGCGCCCTCAACGCCTACTACTCCTCGTGCATCTGGCCGAGCGTGCAGTGGACGCCGGCCGCCGATGCCGTCGGCAGGCCGAGCCGCTCGATGGTGCAACCGACGGGGTCGTGGTGGTGCGACGGCGCCTCGGGCTGGGGCGGCCTCTGGGTCTACCCCCGCCGCTGCGCCTTCACCGGCCGCCCCTTTACCGAGCTCCCGACGCCGCACGGCGCGCGAGACAGCCGGGGCAGGCCGCTGGCCTCGAACGTGCACGAAGGGTCGCCGGTTGGCAACTCGTCGCCTGCGGTGTGAACAG